AATATAGCAAGAGCTAGTACATTTCTATATCACTTATCATTGCACTTAAGCACTCCCTAAGTGGTTTACAATGTGTAAGCTAATTGCCCCCAACAAGCTCATTTTAGCAACCTCGGAAGCATGCAAGCCTGAGTCAAGCTTGAGCCCTTGACTGGTATTGAACTCGCAACCTTATGGTTTGCAAGTTAAGTGGCTGCACTACAGGCATTTAACCACTGCGCCACCAGGGTTCCTCTAATAAATGATCATAATAAATGATAATGGGTTGGATCCAGGCTTAGTAATGCTTAGAAGAGACCCATTAAAATTAGTGATGCAATTTACGGTAGTCATGACTAAGTTAACTCTCGAGACCCAGTGTGCTGAGTGTTAGATTATTACTCTGGACACCAGGGTCTGAGTCCTCTATGTGACCTTGGATAAATCACTCTCTCTCAGCCTCAGAAAAAGGCAAAGGCAAATCCCCTATGAACAAATCATGTCAAGAAAACTCATGTCAAGAAAACAAATCATGTCAAGAAAACAAATCATGTCAAGAGAGAGTTGCATTAAAGTTGCCATAAGTTGAAAATGACTTGAGGGCACACGGCAACAAGAAGTTAACTCTGACAAATTTCATTTGGTCTCATCCAAGCATGACTAGGTTTGGTGGCAAACCTATACTTTTAAACAAGATTTCATATTGAAAACAGAATGAATGTGGCAAATGCTACACGTTATACATTTAAGAATTAGATTAAATATTTGCCTACCCATGGACACAAAATAGTTATTAATAGTCAGACAGTTAGTTAATTATACATCATGACTGTTTGCTTACAAACACAATAACACTGTGGAAGGAATTATTTTTCCTTTTTTGATTTTTGTCAATGTTTCTCTCAAGAATTTAGAAAACAATGAAATGGAACAGATTAAAATATATTTCTCAATGATATGACATAACTAGATTTCATGTTTTTTGTTTTTAAAAGTTTTTAGAAATGGAAGAAAATTAGAATCATAAAGCTAAGATAAGATTCAACAACTGATGAGTTGATAGTGTAACTGTCAACTGAAAATTTGACCTTTCTACCATATCTAAAATTAATATAAATGCTTATCTTCTCCCACTGCACAGAAGGGACCAAATTTTGGCTGATGGAAGAAGTTGGTAGCAAAAGCTTTTATAGACTAAGCCTACTTCATCAGATGCAACTGAAACAAGTGATTGTTTCAGTGTTTCTATTTCTCACATTTAATGCAAACAACAATAACCAGGACACTTAATTTAAAAATGGACACCTCCTGCTTTCTGTACATTACTTGGAAATTATTCATTCCAGGCAAGGACAAACGTTTTGTGAAATAATGATAGGAAAATATTTATCTCACTGGGAAATACCCAGAGGGAATTTATCCAATGTTACCAGAAGCATGCTCAAGCTTACTTGATGCAGTGAAGTTCTTTGAAAATCTTTAATTAGCCTGTTGGACTTATGAAGACATCTTAAACTGTTAGACACATCCACTAGGGCTGAATCTGCACTGCAGAAATAATGCAATTTGACAACACCTTAACTGGGATGGCTCCATAGTATGGGATCCTGGATTTGTAATTTGTTGTGGCACAAGAACTCTCTGACAGATAAGGTTAAATATAAAACTACAGGTCCCAGAATTCTGCAGCAATGAGCCATGACAATTAAAGTAGTGTCAAACTGTATTATTTCTCCAGTACATATTCAGCCTTTGTCTGTTCTGGTCTGGAATAGTTTTCCAAAAACTTGCAGATGAACTGCCCACATCTTATTAACTACAATCTTTTTACTATTGCTCTAAGGATGGAACCTGGAAGTTTCAGTATATAGATAAATAAATAATAAATATGTTCTGTAATACTAGGTTAGGAAACAGTGTAGCATAGTGGTTTGAGCACTGGACTGATACTTTGGAGATGATACTTTGGAGACCTGGGCTTAAATCCCTGCTGGGTCATGGGAACCCACTGGGTGACCTTGGGCAAGTCACACATTTTCAGCCTCAGAAAACTTTGTGATAGGTTTGTCTCAGTAACTCAGAAATGAACATACAGTAAATCAGAAATGAAAGCATGCAACAACATTAGGTTATGGGGACACCCAATCAAGCTCCAAATCAGGGTGACGTGGGTGGATTTTTCACCTATTTTAGTGCACCTGTAAAGACAACATGCAGACTTTACTAATAACAGTATAGACTAGCAAAGGATGCGTATACATTCTGAATTACTGAGAGCACATATAATGGTGTTCTCTTATATATCAGGTGCATACATATTCTCTAGTTCTCTAATACTATCAGATCCTTTCTTAGCTCATTGACTATTCTGCAGATCAACAAGTCCTCTCCTAGATGACTGCTGCTGAGCAGTATCCTTGCCCAATTAACATCTGGATCTTTTTTGGTTATAGTAAAGACCAAGGAAGAAATATAGAAATTTTACCTAAACAATGAGGAAATCAAAACAATAAAAGAATTCCCATACCTAGGATCAAACATTGACGAGAATGGAGACTGCAGTCAGGAAATCAGAAGACTAGGAATGAAAAGGAATAAGACAAGATCCTGAAATGTAAATATATACAAAGGAACACTAAAAGAAGACTCGTCTAACCCATTGTATTCTCCATCATCATGTACAGATGCAAAAGCTGGAGAGTGAAAAAAGCGGATAGGAAGAATACCAATACATTTGACATGTGGTGCCTGAGAAAATGCTGAGGATGCCTTGAACAGCCAAAAACACAAACAAATGTGTCTTTGAACAGATCAAATCTGAAATCTCCTTGGAAGCCAAGATGACCAAATTGAGGCTGCTGTATTTTGGCCACACATTGAAAAGGCATGACTCATTAGAAAAAAATAATAGTGCTAGGGAAGATTGAGGGAAGTAGAAAGAGAGGAACGCCACACACCAGATGGACAGACTCAAATCAGAGCAGTCACAGGACTGGATTTGCAGGAACTATACAGAACAGTGGAGGGTAGGGGGTATTGGAGATGTCTCATCCACAAGGTCACCATGAGTCTGGGTCAGCAGGCAAGCAGGCAGTGGATTACAACAACACGATGATATATTGGATCCCATAGTTTTGAAATGTTGTTAATGGTTCTGGTGGATCATTAATGGTCCTCCAGCTTTATATTTGCAAAATCAAGATGATAGAGTGATTCACTTAAGCCAAAATCCATTTGGGTTCCATCTAACTGCTGAAACTACTTGCTCTCATAATGCAGAACTTAATCTACTTTAAAATTATTTAAATATTTCCATTTGCATAGTTATTCATTGTGTTAGTATCAGTTTCATGTTCAGTTTTCTGAAAACTGGTAACCACAGAGCAAGGAACCATTGAACAAAGGTAAATAAATCCACAGTAAGCAGTGGTTAAACTTACAGTAAACTGTTAATTGGAAAAATCATTTGCAACAGATGGCCCACCCAGGCATGTTTTTTGCCATATGGGCCAGAGAAAGGATTTTCCTTGCAATGTTTGTACTGTAGAATGTGAAAGAAGACCAGAAAATAATTTCCCCAAGTGCTTATGGCAGCAATTTTTTTTAAATACCGTACCTTGTCAGCTACAACCCAGCAGTCACCTCATTTTTTATATGACTTGTGTCTGTGCAAAATAGAAGGGAAATAATTTGGCAGTGATATGTAGGCAATCACGTTGAAAGAGAGCAATAGAGAAAGGCATTTGGGGCTTATCTGCAATACATATTATCTCATTCCCTTTTCATGTGTTGTTTGAATCCTCTAATATTTTGTACTTTTTGTGGCAAAAAGCCTTCAAAAAGGGGATTGCAATACAAATAAAATACTGTACATAACTCCGGCTGCAGAGGCAATACTCTCTCTCTCTCTCTCTCTCTCACTCTCTCACACACACACACACACACACACACAGGTACAGGGGCTTTGGGGGGGGGGAAGGTTTGAGACTACATCCAGTTCCTGGCCGGCACGCCTCGTACAATTTATACACAATGAATAGTCAGTTGAAAAGCCAAAATAACAACTCATAAATAAAAACAAAGCAATCAATTATATAAAATGTTTTCCAAAACAGTGTCTTCACAGCAAGCTTAAAAGCAAGAATAGAGCTTGGCAAATTCATGGAGTCAATGCTGAGAAGGCCATCTCTGGTTTCTATCAGTTGGAGCCATGAGCTCCAACTCATTTCTAACTGAGATCAGACCATTTATCAACACTGGCTTGTACATTAAATTCTCTCAAACAGCTGCATGATCCTCATCATTTTCATACATTTACCAACCTCCTGAGTCGTTGTGTACACAAACAAGCAGAATCTTGCTAGTCTGAGGATCCTCATGGAGGGCTTACACTCAGTCCTGCAGCCATCTCAGTCCCAATTGGTGAGGATACCAGTAGCAGCTCTCAGCCAGAGGAATTCACTTCCATGAGAGGTCAGGCTGAACCTTCCTTTGCTCTACTTTTGTCAATAGGAAAGGACCCTTTTGTTCAAATAGGTAACTGATTGTAAGGAGGATTTTTATGGGACGTGTTTACTCTATTTTTAACTTTTGAATGATTTTATACTTTTAAAAAATGTAATGACTTTAATCTGATTTTAAAACTGCACTTTAATTTTCATTGTGTTTTAGCTGATTATGTGCTTGGGTCCCACAATGCAAGAAAGGAAATAATATAAAACATTTGGGTAGTGTGCTAGACATACAGCCCAAAGAGAGGGAAGTGTATTGACTCAAAGGAATAAATGAGTAAGCTGATTGAAAGACTCCTACAAGACAACTCATTAGTATTACTTTTTTATATAACCAGACATCCCTATTAGAGCACTCTTCTTCTTCTTCTTCTTCATTGTTGTTCTTGTTGTTGTGTGTCTTCAAGTTATTTCCTAAGACAAACCTGTCACAGGGTTTTCTTCGCAAGATTTGTTCTGAGGGTGCCCGAGGCTGAGAGAATGTGACTTGCCCAAGGTCACTTGGTGGTTTTCCAGCAGGGATTTGAACTCTGGTCTATAGAGTTATAGTCCAACACTCAAACCACTATACTACAGTGGCTCTTTTTCTTCTCCCTTCTGAGTATCCCAAATTGTCCCATACATATACAAAGGAATTCTCTCAGCAAGCACAAGATAATGTGGTCCTTGCACAAACACAATTAATAATAATAATAATAATAATAATAATAATAATAATAATAATAATTTATTTATTTATAACCTGCCCCTCTGCAAATGCAATCAGGGCAGCTTACAATGATAAAACACCAAAAATATACAATCCCAAAAGGCACTATATTTCACTTTAACTGCAATGACTGCATCCTTTGGACTCCTGGGGCTTGTAGTTTGGTGAGGCACTAAAACTCTCTGGCTGAGATGTCTAAATACTCTTTCCTTAACTCCAAATTGCAGGATTCCAGTGGACTGAACTAATGGTGTTACAGTGGAATCATAGCACTCTAACTGTGTAGTGTGAACAAGTCAAATGAAAAATCTGGTCTTGTTTTGCTGGGCTTGGAACTTGAAACTGTTTCTCTTTAAATGTTGAGGTGCTACAAGTCAAATGATAATAACTTCCAATAGCAGTGATGAGGTCAGGGATTTGTCATGAAAATTGGAGGGGGGAATCTGTTAACCCTGCTCTTCTGAAACTGTAGTTCTAATCTGAATTGAATGTAGCTGACATTAACACTTGTTAAAATGTTTGGAATATTATTTTAGCTTGGTCCTAAAATAAAACAATAGAATTACAAGATTAGCTCTCATCTATATTGTCTATGATGGGGGAAAGGATGCAGTAGTAGAAGTTTTTCATATCATGTGATGGTTACCGTATTTACACCATGCAATGGAGCTGAAACAAGACACATTTCCCTCCCACCCTTGTAATCTAAAGTAGGGAGATTTGTTCTTCTCCATTCAATTTAATATTGTTGTGTGCCTTCAAGTCATTTCTGATTTATGGTGACCCTACGGGTGAACTGGGTTTTCTTTACAGAATTTTTTCAGAAGGATGATGCCCTTCTCTTCCTCTGAGGCTGAGAGAGTGTATACCACCATTAAATTACATTTAAATATTTATTATTAGATGTGGACCTTGAGTGCACTAAAGACTGAAAGCTATGTTGCTACTAAAGCCATCTTCAACCTGGCAGTGACAGGACTAGTTTCTCAACAAATTCTGCCCCCAGAAAAGGCCAATGATAAGGTCTCCATAAGTCAAAAATGATTGTTAGATACACAAGAACAACAACATTCCACAGTCTACAATAAGTTAGGTAATTGGATTTAACCCAGTTTAGCCCCATTAGTGTTAATGAGATTCAGGATGGCTGGTCCAAAACACACTGCAAAAATTATCCAGTTTGAGACCGCTTTAACTGCCCTGGCTCAGTGCTAGGGAATCCCGGGAACTGTAGTTTATGGTGGCACCAGAGCTCATTGACAGAGAAGGCTAAATGTCTCACAAAACTACAGATCCCAGGATTCCCTAGCATTAAGCCATGGCAGTTAAAGCAGTTTCAAACTGGATTATTTCTGCAATGTTGTTTGTTAGAGGCAAACTGAAAATGAAAATTGGATAATTTATCTCAATGAGGGGGGAAAGCTCCAGGGTTTCACAACTGGCATCTCTTAAATAAGTGCTCAACCTCCTTTAAATGTAAATTACAACAAAAGCGACAGCTTTGATGCAACAAGGCTTAGTCATAGTTGTGACCTGGGGTGAAAGCGAAAAAGGAAATGGAAATGCCCTCAAAGTGGGAGTGTTGTAGTAGAACTCAAGCACACAGGACTGAAGCGCTGGCAGTTGTTAAGTAGCAGAAAGAATGATATCATTTCCCATTCCTCCACCACCCTCCTTTCAAGTTTGGCAATTCCCTTCTAAGGTTAACTGCAATCCTCACAATTGAAGGTGTGTGTGGGGGGGGGGAGAGGAAGAGATGGATTTTCTCAGCAATAATTCATCATTATGAGCTGTTCTTTTGGTATGATAAAGCAAACATTTGGATGGGAGTGGCTTGGCCCTCAACTGACAATTCAGGCTCATACATTTAACAAATTACCCTTTCTTGGTAGAGATGAAAGGTGCAAGAATTGGTTTGCTGATTTGGAGATACAGGGCCCTTTCACACTGTGTATTGTGTCCCTCAAATCTGGAAACCATGCCTTATGAGGACTGACTTAGGGAGCTGGGGATGTTTAGCGTGGAGAAGAGAAGATTAAGAGGTGATATGACAGCCCCGTTTAACTATTTGAAGGAGTGTCATATTGAGGATAGAGCTAGCTTGTTTTCTGCTGCTCCAGAGCATAGGATATGGAGCAATGGATTCAAACTACAGGAAAAGAGATTCCACCTCAACATTAGGAAGAACTTCATGACAGGAAGAGCTATTCAACAGTGGAACACACTCCCTCAGACTGTGGTGGAGTTTCCTTTGGAGGTTTTTAAGCAGAGGCTGGATGGCCATCTGTCAGGGGTGCCTTGATTGTATGTTCCTGCATGGCAGGGGGTTGAACTGGATGGCCTTTGAGGTAGCTTCCAACTCTATGACTCTATGATGTCATCTCCAATTTATAGCAAACCTAAGGCAAACCTACCACAGGGTTTTCTTGGCAAGTTTCTTCAGAGGGGGTTTGCCATTGCCATCATCTGAGGCTGAGAGTGCAACATACTCAAGCTCACCCTTTAACTGCCTTGGGAGCATGTACTTTGTAGTTTATGGAAAGGTATTTAGAATCCTCTACTAGAGAGCTATAGTGACTACCTACTCAACAGGTGCTCATTTCAGTCAGGGCCTCACCTCAGTTTTGCCAGCCTGCTTGCATGTCAAATACTGCTCATGGCCAGGTATGGAACAGCTCTTCTGGGAGCCTTCAGAACTGAACTGATGCACCCAACTAGGAGGACTCCATCTTTGGATGCCTAGCCCTGGCAGATTCCTGGTGTGTCTGAGAACAGACCTTCTTGTTGCCACTGAGGCTCTTGGGCCATACATGGAAGTGGAATGAGCAAGGCTACTGCCAACTGGTGTGGACTGCTAGGATCTTCCTCAGTCTCAGAGGTGCCTACCTCAAAGCCATATTTCAGACTTGAACCCAGATCCCACACGTGTTGTTGTTGTATGCCTTCAAGTCATTTCTGATTTATGGCAACCCTACCATGGAGTTTCTTTGGCAAGTTTCTTCAGAGAAGATCTGTCATTGCCAACCCAGTGAGTTTCCATGGCAGAGTAGGGATTCGAACCCTGGTCTCCAGATTCATAGTCCAGCGCTCAAAATCACACCACCACACTGGCTCTCATGCTACACACATAAGTGTAAATGGCCACAACCCTATGTGAATTAAACGTCAGAAGAGCAAAACAAGATATCTCATGCAAAAGCATGTAAATTACCATCAAGTCTGTCATATTACACAATTATTCCACTTTAACTGCCATGGCAACATCCTATGATTTTTGGGATTTGAAATTAAGAATGGGTATTTAGAATTCTCAGCCAGGAATCCATTAAGCTGTTGCCATGGCAGATAAAGTGGAATCATATTGCTATCACTGTATTGTGAAGTGTGAGAAATCCTGTTTGAAGACATGTTGTGTTCCTTTCTTTCCCTTTTTCAATCAAGTCCAAACATGGTAGCCATTACACTGCTTTTTAAAATTATCCTTGGACACTCTCATGACTAGTCCTCCTTATATATCAGTCAAAATCTCAAGCACTGACACTTGAGAATTTACCATTACTCATGAGCAGCTCTAAAGACCTAAAATGGAAATGTAATTAGGATCTTTTCTCACCCCTCTGTAGGGTGGTGGAGGAGGAGGAGGAGAAGAGGTAGTAGTAGTTGTACGAATTATCTGTATTGACAATGTGTGACTGGAACAGTTAGCCTCACAAGTACTGCACTGATAATATTCTGTGTAAGAGCATTGAAACATACTGTCTCCTATTTTTACTGTGGTCCTCTTCACATTTCCTTAATTAGTGGCACGTCACGAATATTCTCATACTATAGAGAAACTGATGCTGAAAGAGAAAAAAAGTATTAGCTCAATGGGCAAACTGAACTAAGTTTTTATGGATTTATGATCAGGTCTGGGATCACCTTTCCACAGCGTCCCAGGCAAAATTGTCCACAGGCAAAGAATTAAATCACTCAATGGACAAAGAAATTACTTTAAGCAAACTCAGCATTTTTTAATTTTTATTTTTACTGTGGTTATGTCAAGATTGCAGAGTTTATAGTCAGTTGTGGTCAGAAAGGTTCCAAGCTTGGTCTTCTAAGGAAGGAATCTAGACACTCATGTAATCATTAGGCCATTGAGTAATAGCATACTTTACTATAAATGGATATTCTTTAGTACTAAAAACCAGTCAAATACTTGAGTAAACAGCTATTCAACCAGACAAAGCAAAATGAACCAGACAAAGCAAATAATTCCACACCACATACTGTTGACTATTAGTATTTTTCCACAACACACTTAAATCCTAACTGATTTCTCATTTCTCAGAGCAGTTAGGAGAACTTCCAACACAAGGTTTGGCAATTCATGCAAAGGCACTTCCTTAATTAAAGAAATCATTCTTAAATATGTTCTGTTTTTCTGGGTGCACTGAGGTACCAGGAACTCATTATCTCATAATTCCTGTACTGAAATGTGAGTATGATGATGGCTGATAAGATAAACTAGAAAAATCAAGTTAAAATAGGAAAGAAGATTTGCAGACATGCACAGAATATAGTTTATGCTGGTATTCTTCCTTTGCTACTATTAATTTAAAACAACAACAACACCCCCCCACTCGGCCACCCCACCCACAAAGAAGAACATATGCACACAGAAATGTGCAAAAGTTCTCTTTCCCCCTCCAGCACTACAACCTAAAAGTACAATTCAACTCCATTAAAATCTAAAGGAGTTTTATGGGACACTTCATTGGGAGATGGGCACCACCCATAGTGCAAACAGGCCTTGCAGTCAGAGGATTTATTCACAGTCTAACATCAAATGCCACCTCTGCCAGCTGATCACTTTTATTTTTGCAAAGAAGCCTAGTGCTTAACAGGTACCCAGCTTTGTTCAATGCTTTGAAAGTTTAGCTCCAACTAAGTATAAAGATTCTACTGAAGAATTCACATTTAGGATGCAAATGTCACTGAATAAAACTGACAGCTGGCAATTATCGCTGTAAAAATAATAACCTTAGGGCACTTATGAACACACAGAAGAGCTTCATCTGTTATGCAAACCAGAGACTTACCCAGATTAAGCAAAACACTTAATACCAACAAGATTTTATCAGGTTGCTTCCATCAATATGGAAAATTAGAGCAGCCAATATGCCATGCCAGTTTTTTAGTTATGTCACTATATTACAGTAAACTTAAGTGGACTACTGTACTGTATCCAGTTATGGCTGCTGTGCTTCAACATAGCCTTAAGTTACAGAGGATAAGATTTTGACTGATATATAAGGAGGACTAGTTTGACAATAGAATTAATTACCTGGGGTGGAAGTTGTCTTTTGTTGGAGCTTGGAAAGAGTTACAGCACTATAAGAACTAAAAACAAATTTTAAAAACCAGTTCTCTGAATCCCCCAGCCCGCATGGCTAGTTGCTAAGCTGACTGGGGGATTCTGGGAGTTATAATAAAGAGGTAATTTTTGCAAGCTCTGGCTGGACTTCTTTAAAGTAAGTCTAGACAGCCATCTGTTTTGGATTGCTGACTTTCCACCACTGAAAAGAAGATTGGACTAAAAGGTTTATAAAACTCTCTTCAGCTGTGCAGTTCTTGTATGTATGGTATCACGGTTTGAACAGGGAGGAAGCAAGGCCCATAAAGTTTATCAGCCAAAAAGAACCACACCCATATCCTTTTGGCTGTTCCTTATCACAATCAAGTTACTGAATTAACCAGAAGTGTGCAGAGCAAACATATTGGCTACAGTTGTACTTCAAAAAAGGAGTGGCACTCACGCCTTTAAGATGTTTGCAGCAAAACCAGATTTCTGCGTGAAGAATTCCACATTAGAACTTGGAAAGTTACTTTTTGGACTACATAGGGCTGTCCTACTGACCTCATATTGAGCTGAAATACTTACCAATACGTGGTTCCCCAATGACACAAATTAGCATGATCACCCTTATAATCCAAGCATTGCAAGCATGCAGGCCCTCCTGCACTCAACAGTTGTTTACTTCTATGCCTAAAAGCCCAAACTAGAAAACTTTGGGGACTACTCAAGTTTAAAGGATTCTAGTCCCCCACTGTAATTTTTCTGAGTTCCAGGAATGCAAAGCTTTGAGAAGTTGGAGCATGTACAGAGTTTGGAACAGTTTTGCTGCAAAGCAAACTGCCTCTTCATTAAAATAACCAATAAACAGATAACCTATCCAGGGGCAGCCATGTTGGCCATGTTTTGTTTATTGTTGTTGTGTGCCAAACACATGGAATACATGTTGCAACTGTGTGAAACTTCACTGGCTTCTTCATCAGGCAGAGCCTGATGGGTGCCCTTGAGCAAGTCACATTCTCTCAGCCTCAGAGGATGAGCAATGGCAAAAAACCCTCTGAAGAAACTTCATGGGGTTGCTATAAGTCAACAGTGTAATAGTTTGAGTGTTGAACTGTGACTCTGGAAAACAGGATTTAAAACCCTGCTCAGCTGTAAAACCCACTATGTGACCTGGGGCAAGTCACACTCTCTCAGCCTCAAAGGATGGCAATGGCAACTCCCTCCCCAACCCACTCCCAAAGAAACTTGCCAAGAAAATTCCATGATAGGGTCGCCATAAGTCGAAAACGACTTGGAGGCACACAACAACAAACAAACAAGGCATGGCCAACATTCAAATAACATCCAATACCCACCAAGGGATACCTTTATGGGGCCAACTCAAATGCACAAAATACTGTGACTCTGGAGAACAGGGTCCAAGTCCCCCCTCAGCTGTAAAACCCACTGCGTGACCTGGGGCAAGTCACACTTTCTCAGCCTCAGAGGATGGCAATGACAAACCCCTGGGTTTTTCTGGGCTTTTCAGTGCCATTACTGCAGCCACTCACTCACAGCCATAAGGATGTGAGTTTGATTCCAGCCAGGGGCTCCAGGGTCGACTCAGCCTGGCATCCTTCCAAAGTTACTAAAATGAG